CATTGTTCATAATACAGAACAGTCTGTTAGAAAGTAAGATGTTTTATAGTAAGATGTTTTTGAGGGCTCTGATGTGCAGTCCCTGACAAATCTCACTGTTTCATTGCCAGGCTAATGGTTGCTGCAGCAAAGTCTCATTTCACAAGGCAAGTTAACTCCAACCACCCATTTCTACTCCTGGAGGAGCAGAAACACCACTTCACTGCACTGTGGATGTGGTAACAGCTGTAGTTGATGAACCTAGAATCATGAGCACCATAGCTCTGTGTATCACACTTTTCAGCACACTCTTATTCTTACCTACCTAAGTTTTATTTTAGAGCCACATCAAGAAAACTTGCAGTTAGAGCCCATCCCTTGGGAATACTGCAAAAAGAAAATGAACAACACATTAGTATCAGCAAATTTATCTTCTGTCTCTGTCAGTGCAAGATCTTCAGTGCTGCAGGTATAACTGCTGCCTCCACATTATTGCTTTCTTTATGATGTGGATTGCACATTGACCAAGTCAGGCTGTATCARTTTGAAAGACAGGGCCTATCATAACCACCAGTGAAAGTTTCTCCACAGCCCTCCACCAGCTTGTCCAAAGTACCTGTTCTGAGAATAATGGTGAGGTCAGTGTTAGTATTTGTTACCGGAAGTCTGCTAAGACAGCACCAGGACAGGAGTGTGGCTTTTGGCAAGGGATGTGCATGCCCGAGATTTTAACCAGTGAAAGGTACATCACTGCCAGTGTGGTCCAATGCCATTTGAGCATGTCATAGGTTATGGACACGTACTAGTCCAAAGTTCACCCTACTTCTCATGCATCTGTTTTTTTCTGGTGTCAGTTTTCTGATATTCTTTCTGAAAGAATATCTGTTACAGTTTTGGTTGTAACAGCTGGAGACAGACTGACAGTGTGTCCCGGTAGGTAACACCCTCTACATTGTTTCAACATAACTTAAGCCAAGAACCATGCACCATTTTTTCATTTAAATGGAAATTATAGAATCATGTCATTGTTTCAATTGGAAGAGACCTTAAATATCATCTCTTCCAACTCCCTTGCCATGAGCAGGTACATCTTCCACTGGACCACGTTCCTAAAAGCCCCACCCAACCTGGCTTTGAACAATTCCAACCACAGCTTCTGGGCAACCTGTTCCAGTTTTACTCCTGTCTGAGTAAAGAGTTTCTTCCCAACATGTCATCTAAACCTACTCTATCCCAGTCTGAGGCCATTCCTCCTTGYCCTGTCACTACAGGCTCTTGTTACCAGTCCCTCTCCATCTTTCTTGTAGGCTTCCTTCAGGCACCAGAAGGCTGCAATTAGTTGACCCCAAAGCCTTCTCTTCTCCAGGATGAATAATCCCAATTCTCTCAGTGTTTCTTCACAGGAGAGGTGTTCCATCCCTCTCATCATCTTCATGGGTCTTCTCTGCACTTGATAATTAATAGTTAATTAAATACCCATGACTATTGTTTTTTATTACAGAAATGATTAAGAGTGATTAAAGTAGCATTTAATTTTTTTCATTTATGGATATTGCTACTGTTGTAATTATTCTTATCTTAATTTTCTATGTGGCTGCAGAGATGCTTGGTATTTTATTGAAATAAAGGTGTTATGCGAGTTTGGTAATAGGACAAAGTTTCTTGCTTTTTATCCAAAAAYGTGTGAATAGTTCATAAGAATGAAGTCTGGAAGACACCATTGTTTATATATTAAATCTAATCTGTGCCTTTGTAAGTAGCTAAAGTATTTTAAGTTTCTGTTCTATTTTTATATAAGGGTGGGGTTTTTTTTGTTTTAATAAGGGCTTTTTTTGCTCATYTTTCTGTGGTTCCTTGCTTTGAAGTAACCTGTACCACCTTGAATTGAATTATGGTTAAATAAAAGCAACTTGCAATCTGCTAAACATTAATTGCTCATTCAGATGATTGTGAGGTTATAAAAATACTGTGATAGAGGTGTCTGAACCATCTGCCAGATCTCTAATGAGATTAGGATACATTTTTTCAATTAGCAAATTGTAAATAGAAGATGTAGCAGACATCTAAAAGTACTCGCTCTAATTTTTCTGACTCTGGTGAACAGACTTGTTCAGATTTCAAAAGACCCTCCTGAGCTTATTTCTATTTGGCAAYTATCCAAGAAAATTATCTTGAAAATCAGATGGCTTGCTTTGTTTTAATTCTCTTTTCTAAATGTTTCTTCTTGATGCCAGATTGAGTTACCCAAAAGGAAGGTTACTTTTACAGCTTGCTAGATAGCGGGTGGCTCTGTAGTCAGAAGATAAAGACTTTGACTAGGAGCTGTGGAGGCAGTCCATGCCCCAAACATATCACCACACTTTCAGGAAACAMTAGTTGTTGACAACAGATAATGATACACCTGTACTGAGAAATAGAAGTTTCTTTAAAAAAATAACAAGAAGTTGAACATGCAGTGTGTTATATTTACCGGCAAAGTAAGCACAAAACATCAGACACTACTGCCCAGGACAAAAGCAGTACAAACCCAAGGACTGAAGCTGGTCAGACTGAAGGATTGAAGCCAAGATTGGCCTCTGCACCCCAGTGTGACGTGAGCACAGGCTGCCAGTCCCCTCTGGGGCACAGAGAGGCGAGGGCTGTGTGTCAGCACGGTGTACTCTGCATCAGCACCACACATCACCTGTCAGTGCCATTTGTGAGGTCTCTGCACAGCCTGCTCAGCTTTGGGGGCTGCTCTCCATCCCAGGCATGACTACGTCACAGGCCATGAGCAAGTCAGGCCTCTCAGAAAATAATCCTTAAGAGATATTGCATACCTGGAAGACCTCAGTAAAACCAGGTATAAATGATGCAAAAGTGTGACAGAGAAGTCAGCTCTTCAGAGGTGAATTTGAAAAGTGCAGGCATAGACAGGAGCATATGCCTTGCCAAGGGCAGTGGGATTCCTGAGGCAGGATCCCTTCATCCACCCATACATTTCCAGTAAAGATAAAAATAGCATAGGAGAGCTGGTCTGGTAGAAGAAGCCAGTGTTTAGGAACTGGGGAGTACTGTGCAAGGGGACACCTCACAGGCACCTAGAGATTAGTGTTAAGGCATGTCATATTAAAAGAGACAAGGCTCAATTTCTGTCACTGAATGAAAGTGGAATTGCAAGTGCTGTACTAGTATGTGTAGTAAACTCTGCCACAAGCTGCTGAAAATGAGCTCTTCTCAGTCTGGTCAAGGACGTGTTTCCAGCCTAATTTTTTTAGGCTTTGTTAGTGTCTGTTGTTGCAAAACTGCATCATAGATGGAGCTACTCTCTCTGGCTTTCCTGCCTTGAGCTCAGTTCTGACAACCAGCCCAGCAGTGCTTTCAGCAGCAAATGAGTCTGGCGGTCGCCTTCTTTTCCTGGCCCTTTCTTCTGCCTGTCCCCGGCTGCAGAACCTGTTATCCTTCCACCACACATTTTCAGAGGTGCTGACAAAATGCAGAGCTGTGGGACACTGTGCAGCCCCAGTGCAGCACTCCAGCGACTCTCTCCGGCCCCAAGCGCCCTCCTCACGGCGAGGGGTGACAGGGCAGGCACTCCCTCCAGACACTGGCATTTCAAAGCCAGCAAAGACTGCCCTCCTATTGCACAGGGAGTGGGAATGAAGGCTCTTCTCACCTCAGGGTGGACAGAAATTGAGTCAAGGCTGCTGTTGTGCTCTCTGTTGCTGCCGCAGGGCCTACTGGCCCGGGGGGCTGAGCTGGGTTCTGACAGGTGCGTGGAGGAGCCACAAGGGCAGGGCCAGTCAGGCCTAGCAGTAACACCCTTCCACATACATCACCCATAAACTGAAAAAAGACACTGTGGATGAAGTATCACACACAAAGCCTAGCATCTGAACTGCAATTAACCTGTTGGGTTCTGGTTTCCAGATTTTATCACTCACTGTGACTGAGGGACAGCCAGTTCACACCAGGGAGGGTGTAAAAGGTTTGCCTTTGTAAAGTTAAATACCAATCAGTGGTCATTGGGTTGCATGGTGTGAAAATCTCCTGTGTAGCTCACCTCACAAAGTTAAATGCAACTAATTTGGGTTTGCAACATCCCCTGAGACCCGCAGATGAAAAGTGTGAACAGTWTATTTTTCTTTCCACTTTTATATATCTTCCCTTTTTGTCTCTCAGTTTTTCTGTCTGTATTCCAGTACTGAGCCAAATCCACTGACATTTTTTAAGGTCTTCCTTCCCACRACCTACAACAAGGACTGGGTCTAAGCCCCCACACACCACAGTGGCAGGTTTTATCGCACTGTGGCCAATAACCAGCCCAGCTTTGTGGTGTCCTGCAAAGCCTTTATGAGCAGGACTTGTTCTGCTCTGCTCAGAACTGTGACATGGCTCCTGGTCAATGATCGAGGCCACTAGGTTGTTTTGCTGGAGTCATTTATTCGTGCCTCTGCTATGTCCCAAAGTTTACGGTATTTGGTACATATTAGAGCAATAAGCAAAGAAGCAGGAAAACCCTGCAGAAGATAACTTTAAAGCTGTTAGTTACAGAAGACATAGACAATACTTGGAAGGTAATGGAGTACAGCAAGCTACCCACAGATTTCTTCAGAAACACACCAAGTCCTTCTATTACTAGAAGATTGTTGAACTCCATAGCTAGAATCCTGTTTGTTTTGGCAGGTGTTAGATAAAATCTAACATCAAACTGTGTTAAGCAACCATAATTACACCCATTACAATCAGTATTTATA